CCCCCCCCCCCAAACATATTCCTTCATTCTTCCATCACCGCTCCACACTCTGGGCTGTACCTCTGGCCATTGCCTCAGTTCTTCCCTTGGATTTCACTGTCTTCTGGAGAGCGTGACTTTTTCCATCCATTTTCTCATCTCTTGTTTGGATGGCACCGTCCTGTGACCTAAGTAGTGGCCCCTCCATTCTCCTTGCTAAGGTGTCATGATTCTCAGTACACACCTGACTCGAACTCTCTGAATTGGGTGAGGTTGTGGCCATAAAAACGGATTTAGAGTCAGGTACACTGGCCACTTCCTAACTCTGTGGCCCTGGCCCACTTCATAAACCCCTCTGATCCCTCATGTCTCTTTGTGTAGAATGGGGTGTAAATGCTATCTCACAGGCCACAGGAGCTGAATGACAGGTGCATATCACTTGACAGGCGGGATGTTCTCAGTAGTTACGATTGTCACTAGTGCTCCTGCTAACCATCACTGATTTTCTCTTGAAACCAATGTTGATCCCCTCACCCCCCAATTCATATGTTGAAGTCTAGCTCCCAAGGTGATGGTGTTTGGACCAGGGCTTTTGGGAGGTGAGTCGGTCATGAGGGTGGAGCCCCAGGAAAGAGGCTAGTGCCCTTATAAAAGAGGCCCCAGGCAGCTCCCTCACCCCTCCCAACCAGGAAAACAAGGGGAAAGACAGCCATGTAGGAACCAGAAGTGGGCTCTCACCAGACGCCGAATCTGCTGGTACCTTGATCTTGGACTTCCAGCCCCCACGAGGAATAGTCTGTTGTTAGAGCCGCGTGATCTCCAGCATTTTGTTATAGCAACTGAGCTAAGATGCTGGGCGTCTATCCGACCAGGCTTCCACATGCGCCTCCAACTCCTGGTCATTTTTTCTTCAGCTCCCATCCTGGAAGTGTGGAGTTTCTTGGGATCCTTCCTCGTCCTTCTTCCTTCCTGAGTATGCTTCGGCCACCGAAGAGCTCAATGTCGCCTGCACGCCAATGGCCTTCAAGTTCGGACCTCCAGCCCTGACCACTCCTTGGCACTGGGCAGCTCTCCATGGATGTGTCACCACCCCCATGCATCCAGGACCCAGACATCGCCTACCCTCTGCCACCTCTGTGTCCTGATGGATGAGACTCACTCAGCCTCGTCGTCCAAGACAGAAGCGTGGCCTTTGTTCTACATCCCCCTCCTTGGGAGATGCAGAAGACCTTGCCCAGACTCCTGCACAGCAGGGTTCCTCTCCTCTGCTGGGGTGAGTGGGGCAGGCCGTCTCCACCGCCCACTCCCTCAGGAACTCAGCTACAGAGGCGCCAGCTGGGCTGGAGGGTCAAGCTCCTGGCTTCTGGGGCTGGAAAGTGGGTGGAATCCAGGATTAGGGAGGTATGGAGGGAGGTGTTCTGCAGGACCACTTCCCTCTGCCCACTCCTGTGGCCTTCCTTGCTTTCCACAGAGCATCTGGTACCCCAAACCCTGTCTCAGCTCTGCCTCCAGACAAGCCAACCTGATCCCTTGACATGGAGATCACTGTACCTTCTCACCGTATCCTGAGCCCATCTCCTCCCTTCCAGCTCCCCGCTCTTGCCCTCCCTCAAGACACTTCACTGTTTACTTGTATTGTTATCAGCACCCCTCTCAACTCCCCAGAGCACCCATTACTGACTGCTCAAGGTGTCCACATCAAATACAAATCTGACTGCCCTACGCTGTCTTCGTGCACGCACATCGTGAGGGTGACGCGGGTCATCCCACCCCCTCCGGGTCCAGCTGTCTTAGTGGCCTGGCCTCCCAACCTTGCTCTAGCCCCACCACCTACACAGGGCTTTGGAAACGCCGAGTCCCGCAGGCCTCGGGATGCCTCCCACAGAGCCTCTCTTCCTGAGGCGTCTCTTCACCTCCATCGACCTGGAAGATCCCAGAAATCCCTCAAAGCTCTGCCTCAGAGTCACTCCCACTGAGGTCACCCCTGACGTCCTCAGGCCGACTCAGCCTGCTCCCCTCTGGATGGCCTCTGTACCTCACACGTATTTAAACATTTTTTACAGCACACTGGGTTATAACGTTCACGTTAGATTTTTTTGCCTCTGGCCAGAATAAAACCATCTCGGGAGCAGAGCCACCCTCCCCACAGGCCCAGCTCATGTGCATCTTCAGGAACACGAGGGCTGCCTCAGAAGCGGGACAAGGCAAGGAGAGGGGTTTCCCCCTAGAAGCCCCAGAAAAGCCCACTGCCGCCCACCCTTGAGTTTATCCCCTTGTGACCCATCTTGGACTTCTGATCTGCAGCCCTGGCAGGTAACACAGTCGGATCATTTTCAACCACGAATCGTGTGGTTGTGGCATCCATAGAAAACCAATACACTTTTAAATTAATACATTTAAAACGAGAAACCACAACATTCTGGAAACCACAAGATCTTGGAAAGGCTACCGTCAATGACCCCAGGCAGTCTTGAGTCTGAAGGCTCCCTTCCGTGTTGCCAGGCTATGAAAAATTTCATCGAGCGTCCACCTCTACATTGTCACAGGCTGATGGTGCCTGAAATAGGCTGCACCAGCCCTGGGTGAGGGCCCCGGGCACCGCCAGGGGGGAGGGGTACAGGCTTCTCTCTTGGTGCACCCCCACCCCCACGCCCACCCCCACCCCCTTGGCCATCATCTTCCCGGCCAGTGAGGTTTTATTGTACCAGTGCGTCCTTGGAATAGTAATCACCCTCTTTGATTATAAATGTTCGTATATGCAGTAAATGTATATTACTATTATATTTTGAAATGGCCAATTTCCATCCACATGGCTCATCATAATAAAAGAAATAAAAATCTCCTGTTGGCTAAAGGGTTAACCGTGTAGCTTTGGATTTTTTTTTTTTTTTTTTTTTTTTCCTCCTTGGAGACTCAGAACGTGCAGCGTGCTGGATGATCCTTTCACAAAAAGAATCAAGGGCGAGATGCCTGGGGTTTGAATGTGCGTTTGCTGTACATTCATAATAAATGCCGAACCGCATGGCACATTCATGGCTGCTTCTTGCTTGTAAATGAACTGCTGAATGAAAGTTTTGGGACTCAGCTCACCTCCAAGAGAGCGGTCCCTGTTCACACCGGTACCTGAACCAACAGTTCTTGAATTTTCTTGAAAAACTAGTTTTTCCTCTGTCCATGACAGCGGTGCCTTCCTCCATGCATTTTGTAATCAGGCTGGCTTTTCTTTCTTTCTTTCTTCTTCTTCTTCTTTTTTTTTTTTTCCCACA